GTCTGGATCTCTCCCACCATGAGTGCAAGGTTTGTGTTTATTGAATATGTTTTTGTCCTGCAGCAGCCATATTGCCAGGGGAGTGCAGATGTTAGGCAAACATTTGTTTGAATTAAACTTAATTAGCTATCTTTCCATCTCCTATTTTTAAATGGCATATTCTGGGAAGTGATCCTAAAGCAGTTTGTTTTCAGAGGATGGAAAAAGCTCAGAAAAACCTAGAATTCACCCGTCCTATTTGCAATCTGAGGTGCTGGCAATGCTAAAGAGGATTTGAGCCCCTCCAGCTCTGGTGGTGGAAGGAAAAACACTACTTGGAACAGGACTTTCTGTATTCTAGAGGAGAAAGTTCTGCCCTGCTGCCCCTGGCCAGTAAGTTCCCCAGAGGCTGGATAGCCTTACATCCTGCCTCATCTGAAGTAGCAGGTTTAACCTTACTAAACACCTCAGCTGGAATCTGTGGTTGATATCTGCCAGGGAAAGACAAAACAGGACATTTCTACAAGCTAGAATTTCAGATTGCACATCATAGGCTGCAGAAACAAAGCAACCTAAAAATTATCACTGGCAGCTGTGCCGTAGCACAGAAATAAGTTCTAGATCATGAAGAAATATCTAGGCATATTTGTAAAATAAACAAGCTGAGAAGCAGTAATTAATTATTCCATTTAAAGACTTAAAATGAACATGGGTAAGCATTTTGAGATAGCAAAATGAAAGTGAATGGGCGTTTTAATCATTTCTTGGGTAGTTTAGCTTATTTTTTTTTTAAAGCAACATTTAGGTTTGTATTTACCCAATTTTTCCTTTAGAATTCAATATTTATCCTAAAATGGAATATTAACACACAAGATTTAATTATAACAGAATGCTCGCAAATTAATTCAAGACCTTAAAGAGGGCAATGAGTGAATGAATACACATCTTTTAAAGTGTAATACATTCATCTAATGAACTCTTTTCTAGCTGCCTTTTTTTTTCCCCCTAACACCTTTCACTTTGGTGATGTCGGTTTTTACATAGCAATCCCTAATCACCACAGTGCGTTAGTAAATGCCGTCGGGGCAGGGCTCCTCAGCTTCAGAATGAACATGTGGGCTGTGCAAGGCTTTGTGGTGGTGCTGTGTACACACTTGTGCCCACCAGAAGTGGAATGTGAAAATGTCTCTGGCATTGAAAAATATCCCAATGAGAATAAAACTGGCCTCCCCTGAGAACCACTAAGCTAAATATGACAAAAAAATCCACCTGTTTCTAAGACTGTTGCTTTTAGTTTATACCTGCATTAATCTCTCTCTCTCTATATATATATATATGTATATATGTATGTATGTATGTATGTATGTATATATGTATGTACGTATGTATGTATATATGCATACATATATGTATATGGAAAAGGAAGAGTCTGCTGTGGCTTGTTTCCCCAAGTGTGGAATACACGACAGGTGATGCATTTCCTTTGAATCATCATGGCCACAAATGAACAGAGCAGTGGCTCTGGACTCAGCAGAGGTTGCAGGCCTGAGCATCTGAACACTCATGTTCCTGCTCATGTTTCTGAACATCCCTAAAACATACTTTCCTTGGGATTGTAGAGACAGCTAAGTGGGGGAGAGCACAGTCTGTTCTTCAAGAAGACCCAGGTCTGATTCCCAGCACTCAAATCATGGCTCACAACCAGTTACAGGGGACCTCATGCTCTCTTCTGGCGTCTGAAGGCAACAGGTATGAACATGTGCACAGACACACATGAAGGCAAAACATCTGTTCAAATAAAATAAAATGAAAAATACATCTTCCTCACCTGTAATAATGATGGATTCAAAGAGTATTTTAGAGGCTTAATTAAGGGAACACAGTGAGGGGCTTGATGTTCAGGAGCACTTGATCAATTCGGGCTCCTTTGAAGTAAACGCAATGCATCTTAATAACCATGAATTTAAATGAGCTGTGACATGCAATGTGCAGCTGCCAGCCACATGGGGCTGTTAATTACTGTATTTGATGGTTCTCTGTCTGTACGTGCTCCTGAATGCGGCTGTGGACACACACACACATGCCATGGCACACTTGTGGAGAAGAAATGCAGGTATCAGTCTTCTTTCCGGCGTGTTTTAGACAGGGTCTCGTCTCCACTTCATAAGCCAGGCAAGGTGGCCTGTGAGCTTGTGGAACTCTTCCTGTCTCTGACTCCCACTTCTTCTAGACACACTGGGGTGACAGATAAGTAGGCTACTGCTCTTTTGGGGGTACTCAGGATCCAAATATAGTCATCAGGTTTGGGCTGCAAGTGCTTTAGCTACTGAGGGATCTTCCTGGACCTAATAATTTAGTTCTTTGTCATCATCAGACACATGGTTAATGACTAGATATTTGACTGTACAAGGATTTGCTACCTCCATCATCATAGAACATTCTGTTGGATAACAGAAGTGACAGAGACACATACCCACCAGAACTCTATGAGCCCAACACCGTGCAAGTGAAATGCTAACAGGGCAATCTGATGGCATTTTCTCATAATTTCTATGAGAACCTTTGCAGCAAGGCTGGGGGGGGTGGGGTGGTCATGAGCACGGAGTCATTTGCCCCTTGTTTTATTGTTCTAAAAGTATTGGGGACTACAAACATAGTCGCCAACAAGGATGGCTTCAAGGATGACTTGATGTGTGCCATCCTCAGGGAATTTAGTACTGGCACCTACTGGTACCTATGACCTGATGCTGTTCCGACACACCTGTAGGGAAAAGCTCAGAACCACAGTGCTCAGGCAGATCTTAACAGTGATGGAGAGACAGAGCTGGATGGGTTTCCATTGGCAAGTGTGCCCATTTTTAGGCTAGCAAATTCTCATAGGGTTGAAAATAGGAAAGGCATATTCCCTACTTTTTGTAGGGAAATATTTCCATTTCACTTTGATGCCTGCATCTGCCTTTCCCAATTTGAGGACAATAATATGCTACCATTTTTGTTTGTTTTGTTTTGAAATCTAGAGTAGAGGTTAACACACTTTTTCTGTGATGGGCCAAAGATTAATATTTTAGGGTTCTGAGGTTTCTATGATAACCTAATTCACTCTAACAGGCCCTGTGGTCTTAGTTTGCCAAAGTCTATATAATAACACACCCTTCCCCATTCCTCCAATATTTAGTTTTTGCTATTCTTATACATTATAATCACTGTATTTTTGAATATATTAGATTCTGCCAAGGATCCCATTAGATTTATAAATGTGTAACTTAGAAGTGTCAAAAGTAATTTTTATTCTCATTCTTATTAGTCTGCAATTTAAAAACAAACATAACTCTTCTCAATGATTTTCTTTTCCTTGGGGACCAAGTGCAGAGGGGACACAGACACACATGGTGCAAGGACTCATTAAAAGCATTCGACAGGTCTAGGTTAGGACAGTTGATGCCTTTCCCTGCTATTTTACTAACTTATGAATGGAGAAACAACTTCAGTGGAAAAGCTGCGGCTCTTACAAATGCAACAGGCTAACCAAGTCAAAGAAACAGATGTGGTAAGTGGGAGGGGTATTAGTAAGGGTCAGAGGTGAATCTCTAAATACGGCACTTGTTCTAAGACGGTGGCACACAATGCTTGACTAACAAGCCAGATAGACCCCCAGCACACAAAGCAGTACAGGGACCATATTTAGACTGTTGTTTCTTTTCACGGACATTTTGTGCTTTTGCAGGGCCAAGCTTAAAAATACTGATATGGGGAGCGAGGAAGACAGCTCAGTTGGTCAGAGTGCTTGCTCTACAAGCATAAGGATGTGAGTTACAGTCGCCTGCACTGACATAAAACTGGCTATGACACATACGCCTGTAACGTCAGCTCTAGGAGAGCATGTGTGCTTGCTGGCTGTCAGTCTAGCTCCAGGTTTAGTGGGAACTGCCTCAAGTGAAGAAGGCAGAGAGAGACAGAGCAGAACATGCAACATCCTCATTCTGGCCTCTGTACATACACATGTGCAGAAAACACACACACACACACACACCCTAAACTACTGACAATTATTGAAAGGTAAATAGTTTGATATTTTTATATCGTACAGGCTACTGGAACACTCAAAACATAGGGTACATTGGAGTAGGGCACACAGCAGGACTTAGGAGCCAACAGCATGGCTGTAACAGATTCTGCATGAGTACGGCAGGGTCTCCTCCACACACACAGGATACAGGCGTGTAGAGCATCAACCATGGAAGCACAGCATTTTGGATACTGGTGCAGCATCAGGGACCTCAAACACACACAGCTGGCACTTCCAAACAAAACAAAACCACAACAAATAAGCTTATTTGAAGAGAAAAACTATTTGCCTGCTATTAACCCTTCTAAAAACAAACCACAGACATGTCAGCCTCCAAACTGGACGATTAAAAACATCAACATACAAGATAGACACAAGCCTTTTTCAAAGAACGATGGTGTTAGCTAACTGACAAAATCCACACTTCGTTCTTTTTACCGTGTGAACTAGTTACTACGCTATCAGGAAGCAGGAGATTGAAAAAGCAGCTGTTAGCACAGCTTCACTCATCGCAGTGTTTGAAAAGGGATGTAAGATTCGACCTAGCCGATGGTTTCTTTCTCCACGACACATACAGATTTACAAAATAAAGACCTTCTACTTCGTCCACTTGTGAAGCGGTAGACCAGTGTGAAATGAACAGCGCGGCTAACCACAGGCTGCTGTGAGGATGGGAGAGCTGTGAAGGGGCCTGGCGCACAGCGAAGTGTTTGACTAGAGCGTCAACCCGGGCAACATCACAGACGTATTTCTGAGTTTGTGTCTACTGGGTAAATTTTAATCCTTCCTGGGTCATCTGCCACAGGAATGGTCACAATACGGGGCAGAGCGGACCTGGAACATTCGGGTCAACTGAAGTTTCCTAACTGGAGGTAGGCCTCCGGCACAAAGGCGAGCGTCTTCACAGGAGAATGGTGAAACAATGGCGACCAGTCACAAACAAGGAATGAGCGGCTAACACAGCACTAAAAAAGTTTTATTTAAAATGTTTATCAACACGAATTCATCAAAATTAAATGACAAAAAAATCAAATTAAGAAAATTCCCATCATGAAGAAGACATTATTAGAAAGGCCACATTCTCTCCCACGACATTTCCCATCTTTCCATGACAAACTGGCAGAGGTGAGGTGGAGGGACGAGAGGGAGAAGCCCGACCACCAACCCGGCTGGATCCTCAGCGTAGCCTCTTAAAGAAATACAGAGTTTCATAAAAAATCTGCATTCAGCAACTCTGATGTGAAATGAAACCCTGCACTTTAAACCAGTGACTAAGGCTTCTGGCTGCAATTTGGTGTGAGGCAGACAGTACATTCAACATTAAGGCACGGGGTTAGATGTGTGCGATGTGCGCTTATTAACGAGGACGCCCTTACAGCGCTTATGTGCTTTCTAAGTGTGTTAGAGTTAGAAGCCAGTGGAGATGGCTGCTCACAGAAGCCAAAGTGTCTTAGCTGTGTCCTCCTGGAAGTCACTACGTTAAATAAAATCCTCTCTGAATTTGTGAGACCTGCAATTTTTCTATTGTAGATTAAATGTCCACTAATGAACCTAGATCTGGCTTCAAATATCATACTTATGCACATTATTTGGCCACAACCATTGTGGCCCAGAGCTGGCAGACGCTGCTACTGACTGGGCAAGAGAAGATGTGAAATTGCAAAGTATGATTTTTTTTTTTTTTTTAAACAATGACCACAGTGTAAAATCAGCTTTAGGCACTCTGGATAGTGAATTTGAGAAAGTTCAGACTTAAGAGCTTTTCAGATAACGGTCCTTGTATGTGCCCCCTTCCCAGTGAGATAACAATTGCTTTCACAGTGATGAGAGAATCACAGTTCTTCACGGGAGCCAGGGGGAAAGGCATCACTTCTTTGCCACACTGGCAACAGCTTTCTTGGCAGCATCCTCCAGGTCCACAGCTGGCGTGATAGGGAGCCCGCTGCTTTTCAGGATCCTCTGCGCCTCCTGGACATTAGTTCCTACAAGGAGGAACAATGACAATCAGGAAACTAATCTGTAAGTGGCACACCCAGTCAAGTTAGGCAACTGCAATCCCAGGATGCCTGGTGTCCCTTTGTCCCTTTAACTACAACACACGTAGCTTTTTATTGTCAAGCTCTGGCTTTTTATATCTAGATGACAGCCCCACCCCCACCCTGCTTTTAACTTTAATGAACTTGCATTAAAAAGACACTGCCTGTGTTTTTTTTCTGGCACTTCACAAAAAGAGAAATAAGCATTTTTTTTTTTTTTAAGATCACTTCCCCCTGGCAGGGCTGCCTTGCCTGGCCTCAGGAGATGAGGACATGCTCAGTCCTGACATGACTTGATGTGCTGGGGAGGTTGATGTGGGAGGAAGGGAGAGGGGAAGGGAGAGAAAGGGAAAGGAGAGGAAGGGGAGTGCTAAGAGGAGAGGGGGAGGGAAAAGGTGGGGAAGGGGAGTGCTAAGAGGAGAAGGGGAGGGAAAAGGTGGGGAAGGGGAGTGCTAGAGGAGAGGGGGGAGGGGGCACCCTTGGGATGTAAAGTAAATAAACTGAAATTATAAATGATATAGCTAAACACACACACACACACACAAAACGATTATGCACACACAAAGTTTCTCAGCCGCTTGCTCAGTAAACTTGCAAGAAGAAAAGCTGAACTGGACCTGTCTCTTCACCGAGTCTGGGAGAATGGACTTAGAAAAGTGTCTTAAGCATATCACAAAACTGCCCCTGTGCTTCTATCCGGGTGCCGGGTGGACTTCTTTGTAATTAAGGCTCTGAAACGCAGGCCCACGGAGAACACACCTTTCTATGTGGGCACAGGTAAGAGCAGACATTTGATCAGCACGGCTCACACTGGGACAGTGGCTGGCAGAGCAGACTGTCTGCCCCAGGTATCCCTGGGACACTGGGTCTGCAAGAGCAGTGGGAAGCGAACGTTGGGCATTGTATCTCCTCACATGGGCCCCTCAGTGAGCAGCGACCAGAGGAAGGTGCTGAAGCCCTCACCTTTGCCACACCCTTAGAGGATGGTGTTTAGTTAATCACTTCCTTGAGTTCCAATTTTTTCTAAAAAAATATTTTGTGACTACTTTGCTCCCACATTTGCCTTTTCCCCATGTGCATGTCTGTTGTCTTCAGAGGCCAGAAGAGGGCACTGGAGCCTCTGAAACTGGAGTTACAGATGGTTGTGAGGCACCACATGAACGTTGGGATCAATCCCAAGTCCTCCGGAACAGCAACAAGCGCTCTTAACACTGAGACGTCTCTCCTGCCCTGCAACCTTGTTGCTTATTCGTTGACAGGTTCATACATTTATATAATGAACTTCAGTTATTCTCTCATGTCCCTCCTTCTCCCAATGAAATTCTTCTTCTCAACAAGTCCCCTCCTATTTCTGCAGCTTTTGTGTGTGTGACCTACTGAGTTTAAAGGTGGCCGCCTGTCTGCTGGGTGTGATGTCATTTCCAGAGCATGGTCATCAAGGAAAGTACCACCTCTTCTCACAGCCACCATCACTGTCCATAGCTCCTCTGCGAGGGCTGGAGCTTTAGCTGCTTCATCTCCATCTAGCATCTTCCTTGCAGCTGATATTCGCTTTGTACTTGGGCATGCCAGGTATAATGCCGAGCAACTTAGATGAAGCACATGGTTTTCAACAAGAGCTACAAGTGGGTGCTATTGTCCTGCTTTTATGGACAAAGTCAGTCAGTTTATGGAGATGATGAGTAGCAGACAGCAGAAGTCCCTGCTCTATGTAATAACATAATTCTGCCCATTCCACACACTTCTCTTTGTAATACAAAGATGGCACAGCTGACAGGATATACGGCAATGAGAGGCACGCTATGTGAGGGAGGCATGTGACAGTGATTCTGTGGCAGACGTGGTGAGCTTTCCCCAAACATTCTTGCTTTGCTTCTACAGTGTAGGGCTGGGAAGGAGCTGCCTGGGCAGAGACTTTGTTTCCCAGGTATTCCATTGGTTAAATAGGGCCACATGACAGAGGTCTACTCAATAGAATGTGAGTGGATACAAAATACACATTCATAACTCTCTCCATGTGACTTCCATGCTTTCTCTGTTTTACTTTCAGCTGTGTTACCTGTAAGGGGAACCTGAGTAGTGTTTTTAAAGGATGGACATGACTTCTTCAGCCTAGATACTTGATTACGACGTGGAGCCCAGCATCCATCTCATGCTCCCAGACTTTACGTGACTAAGAAAGAAATCTCAATAACGCTAGGCCCCTGACATGTCAGCATGGCTGTGTTATTCAGGGGTTGGCTTTAGTTGGAATCAAGCTCGCTGCTCTCTCCTTGTTTTGTTTTGTTTCTTGAGACAAGGCCTTTCATTGGCCTGGACTCCCCAAGCAGACCAGGCTGGCTGGCCAGGAAGCCCCAGGGATCCAGCTGATTCCACTCTCCAGTATCTACATCACAAGTGGACATCACTAAGGCCTGGCTGGGCACTAAGGCATGGGTTCTGGTGACTGAATTCAGGTCCTCATGCCTGAATGGCAAGTACTTTACTAACTGAGCTATTTTTATACCCAACACATTGTTTTTCATGTGGTAACAGCACCGGAAGGATCAAGTGATTGACTCTGCCTCCTGGTGACCACATGCTTGAGAGACCTCCCCAGTCTAAGTGATGGGATGACACTTCCGCAATGAGATACAAGAGCTTGTGCTTGCTTTCTGTTTTGCCTGCTTTAACACGTCTACTATTCAGTTTGACTAACTGCCACACTTCAAGCCCCTCCTATAGACGAAGCCCACTTGCCAAGCACACAATGGTCACCTCTAGCCAACAGCTATGGAGAGACAGCATCCTGTTCCTAACCATAGCAGCCAGCTTGAAAGTCAACAAGCCAGGAGGTGTCTGCAGCTCTGCCCAGCACACTTTTACCACAACCTGGTGAAGACTGAGTGTGAAGACCCAGGAAGGCCACACCCAGACTCCTGCTCTCAGATATGTAAGATATCTACACCCGCTTTGTTACACTGTCAAATTGAGGGATCATCTACACACAGAGAAGTAACACTGGTGCAAAGCTTTAGTAATTCATTAACACAACCCCAGTGTGCATTCTGATTCATTTGGTTAGGTGTGAGTCCAGGTTACAGAGGCTGAGAAGCAGGACAGGGCATGTGTTAGGTAAGAGGCTAAGGATTCCACATATTAATCTGCAGGTATGGCTGTCACGGGGCAATGACAGAATGAAGCAGATGGCTGGCCTGACCTAGAATTACATCTCTGGATCAGGACTGTGATGTGTCATATCCATCTCCTTCTACATAAAACCTAAGGGAAAACACAACAGCATTTCTTTTCTGGCATGCTCGAGTCTCAGCACCTAGCACCCAGCACCCCAGACCTCTGCAGCGCTGTGGAACATTCTGTTCCAGGCCTTTCTCCCACTCCCATCCAGTTATTTTTGGGTTTGGCTTGGCTTTCTCACGGTTTCATCCATTCATCAAACTGCTCAGAATTCTCTACTCACTATTACCCAAGTTCTCCTCCATGTGTAAGGATGAAATAAATGCTGATTTTTAAAAACTCACATATGAAGCTGCTTTTCCTTGCAACCCGCAGCATAAATAATTCAGGTCCTTAATTAATATCATGTACAGCATCTGGCTTAGCAGTACTGTTCTCAAGGGGAATAAAAAAGGATTGAAGTTAAAATTCACAAGTGCCTAGGCAGGCGCCCTGCTGCCCTCTGCCCTGCATACCTCTCCGCTCACTAGACGCTGTCTTTCTCGGTCTCCTGCGCCACCTTCCTTGCCACCACCTTCAGTGTCCCAGCTACAGCAGGCTTGTCAGAAGTGCTGCCGGAGAACTCCGGGATCTCTACATCGCAGCAGGGATGAGCCCTGTGGGGCGGCTTAGTGACACTTCCCACAGCCCGCTACATAGCCGCTTCAGTGCTAGGCTTGTTGCTTCTCCAATAATCGTGCGGTATCAGCCACATGTTACATGTGAGCTGACAGACTGAGGAAGGTCAGACACAGTCACATAGGATGATGACTGAGGAGAGAGGTGTGGACAGATCCTTCCCTGATCATTTTGCAACTAGGAGGGTTCACCAGGGGCTTTGGCTGTGACTCCATGACCCGGCACTCCATTTGCCCTGGCTATTCTCCAACTCCAAGCTGCTAACAATGCTCTTACTGTGCAGCTCTGGTGCCCCAGGCAAAGAGAGGCCTCACTCTGGGGTTACACTAGTAGGTCAGGGGAAGAGGAGGGTGAAGCGGGCTGCCCCTTTTCCGGCTGGCAGCTCCTCAGTGCCACACCAAAATACCTAATTGCTTCGTAATTCCAGGATCTGCTAAAGTGAATTTTAATTATGCTTGTTGTTATACTTTAATTACAGCCTTAATTACTAAGCATATACTAGCATGCCTCGAAGAAGCGGGTGTGAAGGAACTGTAACATTCAAACAGCTGAAAAATAAGTTGGACTGTGATGAGAATTGGATCAAAAGAGAGGTGCCATGACTAGACAGCGATCAGGAGGAGGTTAGGGGGAAACCATCCTGAGATACAAGAGAATTGAGTGTCATGGGGAATGAGCCGAGAATGGTGACCACATGAAGAGAGAAAGGCAGGGTAGAAAAGGTGTCCATACAGTGAAGAAATAGGGAACTGGCCATGTGGCCTCGGCACCTGCATCTTCCCTGTGCTGTCTCTTTTCTCCATCTCTTTGAAGTACTCTCCTGGCTTTCCCCTGGATGACAGGGCTGTGCCCACAGCCTGGTGTGGCCAGCAATTACTACCACTTGCTTCTTCCTTCAGGTTGAGGAAGCAGCTGGAGGGGAAAGAGAAGAAAGGTTGCAAAGAAAAAAGTAGCCAGTAAAAACCAGGTCAAGGGACGTGGGAATGCCCCGGGCAAACACTTGTGACCGTCTAGATCTTTTGGCAAATGGTATTATTGGTGAATGGTATAATGGAAGTTTGGGACTTCATTCTGCTTTCTGACCTCCATGG